ACACCCACAACCCCCAAAACCCCAAAACCCCAAAACCCCAAAACCCCAAAACCCCAAAACCCCAATAATATAGCAATTAATAGAATAAAAATATGAAATCACCAAGCAGAGTTTCCAAACTAGGCAATTACCTGCTGCATGATAAGATTGGCGAAGGCGGATATGGAGAGGTTTACCATTGCAAAATAATTGATGAAGCTGCACTGTCTAGTACTGCTAGGAAGAGACTAAAGAAGGGCACCCAGCTGGTATGAAAGATCTGCAAATTAGACAAATTATCAACCAAAGGAAGGGGGTATTTAATGTCAGAGATCAACCTTATGAAGCAGCTTAGCCATCCAAATCTTACACGTCTGATAGAAGCTAAAAGACCGAAGAAGACTAAAAGAGGTATGAAGGATATGAAGGTCTTTCAAATTTTAGAACTTTGTAATGGAGGAGACTTAGATTCTTTTTGGAAGATTAAAGGGAAGCAGTTTAGTCAAAATATTTTCCAGTTGGTGATAAAGCAAATAGTTGAAGCTCTTGTGTATCTTGATAGCGAAAATATTACACATAGAGATCTTAAACCAGAGAATATTTTCTGACATTTTCCAAAATATGAGAAAGAAGGAATGGTAGATAAAGAATACATGAAAAACTTGGAAATTGATGAGACCAACTTCAAGGCTATCATTGGAGATTTCGGATTAGCAAAAACTTTGGAAGACGGAATGTATACAAACTCTTTCTGAGGAACTAAAGATTACATGGCCCCAGAAATGTATCAAGATGGAGTAGAATACAACAGATCTGTTGATGTCTGGTCCATTGGTACAAGCTGTGGTTCGGATTTAATCCATTTTCTGGAAACAAAAAGTATGAAAACTGATCATTTCATCTCACGATTTTATAAGTTAGATGATTTCGCATAATTTAGTAAATTAGATAAGATAGTCTCTAGTTATATGAGATATCCATTAAGAATTCTACCAAATTTCATACAATAAAGAATAACCTTTTTAATATAGAAAGGAATTTATGAGGAAACTTGATGAGGGAACTTACTGGATTTCTTACGATATTAAATGAATGCCTCTGTTGATTCATTTGATTGATTGATGTCTCAAAGAAGACCCAAACAAAAGAATTACTTATCAGGGAATTTTGGAACATCCATTCCTAAAATATCAATCAGAGCCTGATTATTTAATAAATATTCTTGGCAAAGATAAAGTAAAAAGAAGCATAGATCTTATCCAGATGGGTGATTCTCCGACATCTTCCTTACTTCTTAATGAGAAATAACTCTCTCGATTTGAGTATTAAATCTTCTGAAAGGTTTAACTTCCATTTCAAAGAAGCATTAGAAAACATTGAAATAAATCTATACAAATCAGTAATGGGCATCGAAGCTGAGAATGAAGAATCTAAGGAAGATACATTTAATCCGAATGTTGTCACTGAAAAGGAAAAGCATATTCCAACTAATTCTGAGGCTTCAACAAATGCTGCATCTCAAAATCTTGAGTCTAAGGAGGAAACAAAAGAATTAAATTCTATTTCAAAGGATATTAGCAAATCTGAAGAAAAATCTATTAAATCAAAATGCTCAACTCAGGATCATAGTAATGAGAATGGAGCTGGCCTCCACAAAGCTCAAAGCGAAAAAGCACCTAAAAAGATGAGAAAGATTAAGAAAAGAATACAGGAAGAGGAGCAAAATCTTAACAAAGACGAAGAAAATCAAAGCGAAGACTCAGATTCGAGCAGCCAAGAGGATGAAAATGAGATTACTGCTGAGAAAAGGAGCAAAGAAGGAAAAGAAGCTCAATCTATTAAGCCTATTAACGAATCCCAATCAGAGTCAGAGAAAAATCCATCGTAAGATGCTTCTAAAAATTCTGAGTCTTCAAGAAACCTTCCAAATGAATTATCAGGAGAGCTCCAGCAAGTCTCTACTAAAGACTCAGAAGGTGATGAGTAATAGGAATTCCAGAGCTTACTCTGCCTAACCCTAAAAAGCTACATGAAATTCCTAATATAAATAATTGACGCTAAATTATCAGCTAGATTCCTAGATTAGCGACTTGTGTTGCCAAGTTGGCTCCATATTAGAAAATTTAGAAATAAAATTTAGAGCTTATCAGCTGATTTCCTCAAATTTGGGGTTTTGGGGTTTTGGGGTTTTGGGGTTTTGGGG